TTCCCTCCTCCATGCCCCCACCCAGGTTTTTTCTTTGAAAATCTTGAGGGTGCTATAATTCTTGTTTCATTCATGCCTCCTGCCCCAGGGCTTTGAGACCTGAATGTGTCTGTTCCATTTCATTTAAGACGTCACCAGAGTGATGGCAATGAAATGGCCCACCCTCATCTGCGTGCTTCAGCAAGAGATCTTCGAGCATCACCAAAACGAGCATCCAAGTCCACCGTTGAAGAAGAGCTGAAGAAATTGATAGATCTTGATAGCCCAACACCTGAATCCCAGAAGAATTTTAAGGTATGTTAAAGAGAGAGCCTGTCACCTGGATATCTCTTGTCACAGTTCAGTGAAATCTGAGAATAACTGAAGAGCAACACACAGGTCCTCTTCTGATCCAAGTTGTAGTTCTGTTGTTGCAAAATAGAAATGTGTAAAGTTACTCTTTATAAGAATTTGGTGATTGAGTTCATTGCTGCCTGGGCATACCAGCTCATACAGGAAACGCTTCACAGTTGAGAACATGATGAAGGCCATAAAGCTCTAAGATTTCCGCGCAGAAAATGCTGAGTGCTTTCAAAACCATCAAAGCTGAAGCGTTCGTTCATGCAGAGCTTACTTGACTGGACTTTGCATTGGACTCAAGAGTTTCTTATATAGGATCTTCTCTATTCTCACCCAAATCAGGAAAATAAAATGCAAGGCGTTCCCTGAATTCTCATCATGGACAGAAAGTCGTATGTTTGTCACAGACTTGTCTACTAGAGAAATATATTTGGGGAACAGTTTCATTATTACAGTCACTGCAATACTATTACAGTTTTGTGTGCAAATTTAGAGAGACTAGTATGCCAGTTTGCAAAGAGTGTTTAGGACTGTGGACTCATGGAAAATCCTGTGGTGTTGTTCTATGCATTTGAATTCCTCTTCTCTGATTGCATCACTAGACAGTGACTTGTTGACAGTATTGAAACATCTTGCAAAAAGCACACTTTTGTTCCTCTCTAATCCTGTAACTGCACAAGGGCCAAGAATGCTCCCTAAACTTAAGCAAGTATTTATACAGAATAAATTTAGAAACATTTCCTGATGTGTTTCAAAATGTGTATAACACAAAAGTGCATATATTAATTTTAAAAATCCGTCATTTTGAAGAGAATGTCTTGACTTTTACAGTCTCCATATACAGTCAGTGCTTAACAGCCCGGGCTCGTCACCTAGAGCCCAAATGGTTTCTGCAGCAACCGTGCAGAAGAGAGCTGCAACTTCTTTGCTTGTAAAAACCTGAAGTGGCTTATTAAAACTTCTAAGTGCTAGGTTCTGTACACAGATTATTTCAGAGATTACCTTTGAGGCTGGAGGAAAAAAAAAAACAAAAACAAAAACAACACAGCCTTGCCAAGGGCAAGGTATCTTTTTAAGTTTGTGGTAGTTCTGAGAGGAGCGGGACGAGGGCGATGCAAGCATCTCCTGTTGGTTGTTTTGAGGAAGGGGATTGTTCTTATTACAAGAAATTCCATTCTGAAAGAGGTGATCTGAAGACTATGAAAAGTGTGTATGTGTCCGAGTTTTTTGTTTTTCTGCTTTGGGGCTAGTGAATCAGTTCTTACCCTGGTCTTTATTTCCTGATGACTGTAACAAGTAGGTTAACTCAAATTACACTTTTGATGAATTTCACTAAATTAATAAGATTCTATCACACCGATAAATCAAGTCTTTTTAATTTTAAAAGTAGCTGTCATTTCTGCCCATTGCATGATTTATATTTCAACTTACAAAAAAGTTGCTCTTGCAGCATCATTTTTTGACAGTTTAAAAAAAAATGAATGATAATGGCCTTCATTAGTTCACTGCACAAAGACCAAAAATCCTCCTCCTTCCCATCTGTTGGCTGTCAAAGGCTTTGTTTTTGAGTAGAATTTGTTCTAGACTGTGATTTTGTGTGTCTTTTTATTATCCTCCCAACTTTTCTTATCTCCTGACCTACTGCTTACGCATTACGTCTTCTCGGACAAGTCACCCTTCTTTTTCTCTTCCCTCTGCTCTATTACCAGAAGACAATTCCTACTTGTATTGCCTCTGTTCCGACTCCATCAAGTGTTTATCTCTGTGAAACCTTTTCATCTAAATGTCTGATACTAACTGGTGGTTCCAGCTCCTACTTCTTTAAATGCCAAGTGAACTATAGCACCCTTGAGTAAATGCTGCTTGACTTAGCAGCTCTTTCTTTTCCTTTGGCACTTCAGGACAAGTACTGGGAGATTTCACTGCACCATAACGTGAACCTGCTGATTGAACTTTTAAATTTCAGAATAAAAAAGCAGCTTGATCCTCAGTGTAACATAGTGACAACTGTGTACCAGTTGTCATTTCTGTAGTGTTCACTGTATAGGAAAGTTCGTACTGTGATGGGCATGTCCTGAGGGAGGCAATGCAGAAGGGAGACTTTGACATAACAGAAAGTTGGCATGGGACATGGCTTCTCTTTCCTTCCTTGTCTTTTGATGGTAGCAACTTTTTGGAATTAATCTTCACAGAACAGCAGGGGTTGGAAGGGACCTTTGGAGATCATTAGTCCAACCCCCCTGCTAAAGCAGGTTCACCTAGAGCAGGTTGCACAGGACTGTATCCAGGCGGGTTTTGAGTATCTCCAGGGAAGGAGCCTGCACAACCCCCCTGGCCAGCCTGTTCCAGTGCTCTGCCACCCTCAGAGTAAAGAAGTTTTTCCACATGTTCAGGTGGAGCTTCCTGTGCTCCAGGTTGTGCCCGTTGCCCCTTGTCCTGTCACTGGTCACCACTGAAAAAAGCCTGGCCCCGTCCTCTCGACACCCGCCCTTTAGATTTTTATAAGTGTTGATGAGATCCCCTCTCAGTCTTCTCCAGGCTAAACAGACCCAGGTCTCTCAGCCTTTCCTTGTAGGAGAGATGCTTCAGTCCCCAAATCATCTTCATAGCCCTCTGCTGGACTTGTTCCAGTAGTTCCCTGTCTCTCTTGAACTGGGGGGCCCAGAACTGGACACAGCACTCCAGATGTGGCCTCAACAGGGCAGAGTAGAGGGGGAGGAGAACCTCCTTCCACCTGCTGGCCGCACTCTTCTCTATGCACCCCAGGACACCATTGGCCACCTTGGCCACAAGGGCCCATTGCTGACTCATGGGTAACTTGCTGCCCACCAGAACTCCCAGGTCCTTATCTGCAGAACTGCTCTCCAGCAGGTCGACCCCCAGCCTATACTGGTGCATGGGGTTATTCCTCCCCAGTGCAGGACCCTGCACTTGCCATTGTTGAACCTCATTAGATTCCTCTCTGCCCAGCTCTCCGGCCTGTCCAGGTCTCGCTGAATGGTAGCACAGCCTTCTGGCGTGTCAGCCGCTCCTCCCAGTTTAGTATCATCAGCAAACTTGCTGAGGGTGCACTCTGTCCCTTCATCCAGGTCGTTGATGAATACGTTGAATAAGACTGGACCCAGTACTGATCCCTGGGGAACACCACTAGCCGCAGGCCTCCAACTAAACTCAGCACCACTGATCACAACTCCGAGCTCTGTCCTTCAGCCAGTTCTCAACCCACCTCACTGTCCACTCGTCTGTCCCACACTTCCTAAGCTTCCCTATGAGGATGTGGTGGGAGACAGTGTCAAAAGCTTTGCTGAAGTCAAGGTAGACAACATCCACTGCTCTCCCCTCATCCACCCATCTGGCAGTTTTCTTCCACTGTGTAGTACCAACAGTCCCTCCTTCACGCTCTTCTCCCACCTTACAGTGTGGGATTCTGATCACAGGAATAGAGTACCGTCTGTTTAAAGATTTTTATCCTCTTTCTGAGAAGAGAGAACTATTTTTATGTGCAAACGAGCAACTATTTATAATGTTCAGTCACTCTTTCTGGAAATCATATTATCATCTTTTTTGTTTAAACTTGCTTACAGAGCAAATGTGGGAGGTGAGATCTTCCTTTCTGTTTGCCATTTCTCCATGAAAGCCTTTGGACCAAGTTTCAACCAAACCATAAAGAAATGTTATGTCTTAGAGACAGCTGTGTTGCTACAGGTTTCATGAAAATCAGTGTCTCTGCTGATGGGAATGGTTATGCATTCTTTGATAGCAGCTCGCTGGCGCTGGCCGGAGAGTATGTAACTCCAGGCTAACCACAGCATTGCTTTCTACTGTGTGGAGCATGGAGGAAGCTGTGATGACGTTGGGGGTGAAACACAAGTTCTCTTACTCATGGGACTATTTATTTAATTTTGATTCAAATCCTTCTGAAGAATCAAAGCGGTGGTGGGTGTTCCTCGTTGTTCAGTAATATGAGACTTTTAATTAGTTGGCATTTACTGGTGCTCTGCCTGAGGGAAGGCGGCCTCCCCTGGGCACAAGGGAGAGCTCTGGCTTATGCAGCATTCAGTCTGTTTCTGTAAATGTTCTCTCTGCTACAAGTCAACTCTAGAATCCGTGAGGGCTGCCTGAGATTTCCCCTTCAGGAGAATTTTGAAGAGTATTCAAAAGGTAGAATGTGAAATAGGCTAAAAAAGACCTATATATGTTATCTAGTTATAATCTCCCTCAAAGCAGATTCCTTTATTCTTTTTCCTATCCACTCTGCAAAAATACTGTTGACACTTACTTTCTTATTTAAAAAAAAGCTTTAAAAACCAATTTCAACAAAGATGTCAAAAGTTTCTTATTGATTTTTTTTTTCTTATTTCTTTTTATTTGTTCTTATTAATGTATAGTCACACACTCTGTCCTGTCAGTCTCCCTTTCCCAGCACTCCTACCACAAGGCGTGCCTTGCAAAGGACTTTGTCAGATGAGAGTATTTACAGTGGTCAAAGGGACCACTTCTTCACCTCGCGGGCCTCGCTCTTGGACCAAGCCATGCCAAATGATGTCCTATTCACCAGCACATACCCTTCTCTCCCAAAGTCGTTGCCATTACGGAGACCATCATATACTTTGGGAATGAAATCACTACATGGTAAGCGTCTTTCCCATTTTTCTACTTTCAAAGGAATCCTTTGTGAATCGTGTTAAGGGGAAACGTTTATTACAGCAATTAGGACTTCCATCTTGATTTTGCTAAAATGAGTCAAGTCACACGCCTGAAAATATAAAATAGGACAGGAATATTATTTTTTTTTCCTCACTTCAGTGGGTGTAAGACTGCATGACTGGTCATGTAGTTTACCTTGTGAAGGGAGCATAAAAATTTGCTTCATTGGCTGTAAGTTTTCACCATTTCTTCCAGGAGTCATCTGGACCAGTTGGACCAATAGGCAAATAATGCATGCCTGGTTATCCACCAGTGACAACTGCAGGTGTCAGTTCCTTTAGTGTGGAGTTATGGGAACAAAATACTATTCAGAAAATAATTATATAAAAGTGGATAAATACTAGTGAGCATTTGGATGTACAACTGCACTAGCTACAGCTTTTATTGCACTGTTTTTAAATTCACTCCCTTACCCTGTTCTTTTTACAGGACTTGAGTTAGTTACTTTTCTTGTTAGCTATTGATGTGCAACTAAAGTTACTTGGTAAACTGCTGTCAAGAAAACGCTCTGCTTTCCCCCATGAGTTTACTGAAAAGTCTCAGTAGGACTGTCTGATAGGTTGTGTGTTGCTGCGTGTAGATGTCTCAGTTGGTGAGAAAGGGAATTTTCACAGGTTCCTGCTGTACCTCGTAACTAAAAGTGTACTAAATGTGTTTTCCAGAAATAGAGCTAGATCGCACAGTGCAGGATTCTGCAGTGTTTTCTGAGGAAGTACATATCTGCTCTGATTTATTCATGTTTTGGTATGTTTCAAGAGGAAAGTTCAAGGTTATCAATAGATTCAACGTGCTATAGTGGGCCCTAAGCACGATCTGTATTTAGATACACAGGATACATTTGACAGTGAAGGCTGCTGAAGAAATCTATTTTAAATTCTTTTCATCTGTCTGTGATCACCAGGCATCAGTTTTCAGTGTTGAACCTGACATTTTCATGAGCTGTTGTTTCTGTATAACACGTTTCTTGCCTAAGAGTTAGGAAACTGGGTTCTCTTCACTTCTGCTTTTTGTATGCACTAGAATAACTTTGCAGACTTGGTTGCACTTGTAACTGGCTGGTGGATTTGGCTTCTGAGGGCTTGGGGTCAGAAGATTAATGATGCCATCTAAGAAAAAGTGGAAAGCGGCACTTGGTCTCTTTTCATCTAATGCCTGTATTTTCCAAAAAGAAAACCACAAAACCTTCCTTCACTGTCACATTCTCTTCCACACTGAACCGATTACTCCTCCTAGCCCATAAGCTTTCTACATTGGTCAACAAAACAAGATTTTCCATTTTCTATAAAATGTAGGGCCTGCATGATAAAAGGAGCAGCAATTTGAGTGGCACACGACTTGCCTCCCTCCACACACTTGGCTTTGCTGAGGGAAGGATTAAGTAGGGCTGGATATTTAATACCACAAGTATTTGTTGGCTTCCAGCTATTCTAAATTCTTTCAATTCAAAGATCTTATTAACCAAGAAATGCCATTCCAGAGCACCTTCATTTGTTTTGAAGAGGGAAAACAATGAGCTAAAAATATTCTTACTTTACTCATCTGTCTTAATTCCAACTCACACTTTTAAAACAGGTCATTTTTCAAATGGTTAGGTTTTTCTTCTCATTCTGTGTATCTTTTCACTAACGGTAAATATTTTCATGTTAAGAACTTCCCAAATAACTGCCCTCTTTTGGGGAGATAATACAAGGATCCTCAGTGTTAATACTGAGCTGAACTTAACGTTTATAAAAAGTAAATACACACAGAGACCAAAAAAAAAAAAAAAATCAAGATTTTTGAGCAAAGATGTGAATGCAGTGTAGCTTTTCTGGTCGTTGTTTCCCAGGCAGCAATATTGTTTAGCTAAAGTTACTAGAAAGGCATTTTAGTTATTGAAGTTATATAGTTGTTAGACTATCAAAAGCAACACAAGCTACTGGCGTTTGTCTTCCAACGGGCTTGTGTCCTGCCTACCACGCTTTCTTTCTGGTCCAGATGTGTTCTTCTCTGTACCCTTCTCTGCAGCTTCCTCCCAGGTGCCCAGTCCATCTTCTCACCCCTACGTCGCTGGTGCGTCTAATAACACCTACAAGTTATTCAAAACTTTCTTCACGCCCTGCAGAGGGCTTGAGGAAGCAAGTTGTTGCTGCTTCTGAGCTTACACAGGTGCTGACTGACCAGACATTTTTGATTGTTCAGCCAGCAAACTGAAATAAAGTAGATAATTGTTGGTTCACAATTT